GCAATACTTCAGATATATTATGATACGTGATACTTGTAGTCATGCGATTCTTCAGATATATTATGATACGTGATACTTGTAGTCATGCGATTCTTCAGATATATTATGATACGTGATAATTGTAGTCATGCGATTCTTCAGATAAATTATGATACGTGATACTATTAGTCATGCAATAATTCAGATGATACTTGTAGTCATGCAATACTTCAGATATATTTTGATACGTGATACTTGTAGTTCAAGGAGTCTCTCCCAAGGCCGCATATCGTGGTGATGCTATGAGCACGAACCCGATATTTGCCTGCGTTCATCTGCATCTTACTCCAATGAGAGATGGAACAGTAGAGGGTGTTTGCGGATGCTCGCTGACTCCAGAGGGGCGACGAGTCTCTCAGAAGTAGACGCACGGGCAACATCCACCATTTCAGCAGGCATGGCATGTTGTCGGGTACGTTCTGCAGAGGGTTCAGTGTGCAAGACATTGGGTCAGCAAGGCAGGCACTGTGACATGCGTGGTGTTCCCAGAAACATGCGTGGTGTTCCCAGAAACACGAGCAGTACCCCAAAGCCACAGACCTATCCAGAGTCACAGCAGTAGCCTCCAAGCACCAGCCAGGCTGAGGACTTCAAAACCCGTGCGCCTGTCACGAGCACTGGCTATGGCGAGGCAGCCAGAGGCGGGTTGTCAGAGGCCCGGTGGTTTTCTGTCGGCTCATTCGTGGCCCTGCCCGGGCCGTCCGCCGCTCACTTCGCCGCAGACTCATTTGCAACGACGCGGGCTATGCAGATGGACATGTCGTCCATCTTGCCCCCGAGGCTGGCCTTCTTCGCAGCCTGCCCCGGAGGCGCGTTCACCTTCTCGTTGTACGGCGTGTAGGCATTGTCGTCATAAGCCACCAGCTTGCACTTGGCCAAGATCTTGCTGCACGCCACACGCACGCTACTGTTGGGCGGCGCGAGGTACTGGTGAAGAGCGTCGACAAGCTCGTGGTCAAACAAGTTGTCGGAGATGCCGTCGGAGCACATGACAATGAGGTCGTTTTCCTGCAACGCGACCTCGTCCACCTCGGCCATCTCGGACGGCATGCGGCCCAAGGTCTGGGTGCCGATCTGCTGCGGGCACAACGGCGCGGCCATCTGCTCGGTGTTGGAGCGGATGACCCGGCCGCCCCGCACCACCCAGAGCCGCGAGTCGCCGATGCTGATGTACTTGAGCGTGGCGCCGCTCAACATGCCCAAGAGGAGCGTGGACGAGCCCTTGAGGCCCTGCAAGTCCATGAGGTGCGACGTGTGGAGAAACGAGTCGTCCAAGACCTGCTGGACGTCACGTGCGTTCAACACATGCGGCATGTGGCTCAAGCGGTACTCGGTCAAGAGCCGGCTGAGCGTCTCCACCATGGACCGCGCCCAGATGCCCAGCGAGGCCTGCTCGCCCTTGGACTCCCAGCCGGACACGCCGTCGGCAATGGCCATCACCGTGGGCAGCACTAGCATGGCGTCGTCGCCGGCCTTGATCAGCAACGTGTCCACGGGAGAGCCCTGCGGGCGGCGCCGCGGCAAGAGCGAGTTGAGCTGCGCGGGGTCCGTCAAGTCGCTGAGCGAGTGCACCGTGGGGTCCGCGCTGAAGCTGTGGTGGGCGAACGACGCGTGGCCCACGTCCAATCGGTATGCGTGCGACGCCATGCGGCGCATCTGCTCACGCGTGACCAAGGGGTACTGGATGAAGGGGCTGTTGGCGTTTTCGCGCTGCTCGCGGGCCTCGAGCCGCTGCTGCTCGGGCAGCTTGGCGAGGCCAAAGACGCTTTTGAGCGTGCGGAGCAACCCGCCGTTTGCAGCCGTTTGCGGTTCCGGCGCGCCGGCGGGCTTGGCGGCGGGCGTGTGTTTCGACGCGCCGAGCGTGTTTGTTGCGGTGGCGCTGAGCGGCCGTAGCCCGCCGTTTTTTGCAGCCATGCGCCGTGTTTTTGTGGTGGCGAGGCGGGGGCCAAAACACCCCGCGAGACGGGCTCTGAGAGGCTTCATGCTGAGAGCGATGGCCGGCGTGGTGGTGAGAATCGTCTACTGCGGCAGGCGGCGGAGGGTCCACGCTGGTCTTTGATGAGTCTTGAGATAAAAAGAAAGAAAAAAACAACAACCAGTCTGTGATGTCTGAGAAACAGCGCCCAGATATCCCAGGGAGAAAAAGAGTATGCTGGTCGGGCCGCATGTCGGAACGGGTGTGCCGATGAGGCGATGGCGGAATGCCCGCTGCTCCTGCAGGCAGCCGCGCGTACGGCTCGCTTCTTCTTGTTGCCTGCTTCTTTGTTCCGCGTGGTTCCGGCACTTTTCGCACCCATTTCTGCTGCCTGCCTGCTGGCCTGGTATGCCAGGGCGAGACGGCGTATCGAGGTGTCTGCTTTTTTTGCTCCTCCCCTACGTCACGAAACAACACCTCTGCAGTTTGACTGTCCTGCTTGCCTTTGGAAGCCTTGAGGCCCGTCTACAACAGGACAGAAGCTCACCCACAGTCTCCAGGACCTCACTCATAAAATACGTTGTATTGTCTCAGCATACTCTTAGATCACACCCAGGGGAAACTTAGTCCTCACTCACAACGGCATCGTAGGCAACCTTGTATGGTGGAGTGAACGCAGTATGCACCTTGCATTGCAAAACTCCTTGGTTGACCAACATCTCCACGCCAGGCACTACCGTCCACTCAAACTTCTCCTTCGCAATCTTCATCACGGGGGTAACTCTTGGCTTGTACGCAGCATCGAGGAGCACTGGCTGGATCCCGTCTTTCTTTTCCTGGATGCCCTTGTACAAGATACGCTCGAGTTTGTTGAGCAACGATTCATCAAGAGGCTTGTCAGCTGGCACACACGATACCATTAATGAAACCCTCTCCGCGGCTTCAACTTCCTCAATGGTTTCCAACACGGTGATGTTAAAGTGAGTTGGCAACTCTCTCTTGACTTCGTGCAATTTCGAGCTGGTTCTGTTCACCATGTAGATATTCTTGCATCCCAATTTGTTCAAAGCATAAGCAGCCGCGCGCGAGGTTCCGCCGCTTCCGACAACCAAACCATTGAGGTTGTAGTTTCCAATGGATGGCACACCGTTCCGAATAAGAGAGTTCGTGATACCGTACCAGTCAGTATTGTCGCCCAAGAACTTGCCTTCTTGTCCCTCAATCGGCTTGACGGTATTCACAGCACCGATAACTTTAGCAGCATCGCTGAGTTGGGTGACATACTTCATGATGTCCAATTTCAAGGGCGTCGTCACGGCCAAACCGCCGAAGTCTGGTTGCGTCATGAGCTCTTCATACACTTTGCCTGCATCATCGGTCTCAAACTTGTCGAAAATGTAGGGCAAACTCAACTTTTGGTACACCGCATTGTGCAAAGCGGGCGACCTAGAGTGGGAAATTGGTTTACCCACCACTTTGAACCTTTTTTTGGTCAAGCCACCAATCTCGCTGTAAGACTTGTTGATCTCTGCGATCGTAAGCACTCCCTCGCTGACGTTAATAGGAGCTGCCTCGTTTGTGACAGGGGTGAACATAGTGTTCAACACAAGTGATAGTTTTCCTTGCTCCCCGGTGTTGTAAGCAATCAAAGGAATTTGGTCGTTATTTGATCTGAAGTGTTCGATGTCGATGTTGTCCTGAATACACGACGCTTTTCCAATGAGCCGCACAACATCCGCGTTCAATCCAATTGCCTGGTTGTACTTGTTTCCGTACTCCGGCTGCTTCCAGCTCAAGTTTCCAGAGACATCCACGTAAGTCGCAATTATCTTGGTGAATGCCTTGCCCTTGATGATACGCTTGACAAACCCTTCCGCACCCGTCAATTGAACATCCAAGTAGTCCATGCCGAGTTTGATACCCAAAAAGCTCAACTGCTCCAAAAGATTGGACTCGTTGTCGGGGAATTTTCCTCCTTGACTCTGAGTCCTGATGGTATAAATGATAGGCAAAGCCACGAATTTCCTCAAGGTTGCTGTTTGATCAGCAACAAAGGAAGGGTCGAAGCTTTTCATGGCATCCACCCTGAGCTCAACAGCTTCACATCCGGCTGTGATTTCTTCCAACTTCTCTGTGATGGTGCTCAAGTCTTCGTATGCTAAGGTAGCTACGAAAGATCTGTGGTTGGGAATGCTTCTGATCTTCGAGCCAGTAATAGTGGCCAAGTAGTTCATGAAGGAGTGTCTCAACTGATTGAACTCAGACTCATTGTCACAGTGAGAGGAGTAGAAGTGATAGTTCGAACACTCATGGTACCATTTCTCTCTTCTGACCCAAACGTCCTTGATTTCACTGACGTATGCAGGTCTTGTAGTATCTGAGCTCAAAAACACAATGGTCTCATCGAGGTCACGGTGCAAATGAAGAACGATTCCGTCGGACTTGATGTACTCTTTCAAGATTTTTCTGGATTCGTCTCCCTCGACAACACCTCCTCCTGTCGAGATCACGTGGCCTCGGGAGTTCTGAGCCACACAATCCTTCATGATCTGAGCCTCGATCTCGTGGAACTTCTCCCAGCCATTTGCCTTGATGAAAGTTCTGATATCACCGTGTTTCTCTTCGAAAACAGTGTCCAAATCGAGGAGCTGGAAGCCCAAAGAGTTGGCCATCCACTTGCTCAAGGTGGACTTCCCAGCGGCCCTCATGCCGATGACAACAATTGAGCGGTCTCCGTTGCTCTTCTTGTTGATCAACAATCTGGGGTCGTCCAAGTTCTTGGCAGGTTCGTAGCCATCGAGCGTTGACTTGAATTTGGTATGCAAAACATCCCACCATCCTGGCCAGGTCTTCCCTGTGCATGATCTCTCTGTGACCAATACCGGTTCGCTGCACGTGCCCGCTAACAAGGAGAAGGACATGGCAACTCTGTGGTCGTCGTAGGTGTGGACACCGCGGTTTTCGGTGGAAGGCGTCTTCAATGCACCGATGGCAATGCCGTCAATCTCGATACCGTCGGGCAATTCTCTGGCGGTGACGCCGAACTTGCGCAACTCGTCAACCATGGCCAAGATTCGGTTGCATTCCTTGACCCTCTGGTTAGCAATGCCGGTGATCTGCGTGAGCTTCCCATCGTTGGCGATGGCAGCAACGACAGAGGCGGTCAAGAACGCATCGGTCATGGGCTCCATGTCCACGTGAGGCAAGGACTTCAACCCGCCCCGGGGAGGGCCTGTGACCGTGGTGGACGTTGGGCCTTGCTCCACGGTGCACCCCATGGGCTTCAAGACGTCGACAGCGAACCTGGCATCACCTTGGAGAGAGGCGGAGCCGATGTTGGGCACGGTGCACGACGTGCCCGTCATGGCAGCGAACGCCAACGGGTAGGTGGCCGAAGACGCGTCGGACTCGACCTCGTACACGGGCGGGTTCTTGTACACGCCCTTGGGGATGTGGTAAGTGTGGGCCTCGGTGGTGGACTCGGTGACGTGGATGCCGAAGTCCCTCATCATGGCGATGGTCATGTCGATGTACAACTTCGAGATGGGCTTGCCGCCCACCAAGGCCAAGGTGACCTCCTCGTCGGCGTACGGGGCGCACATCAAGATGGACGACACGTACTGCGACGAGATGGTGGCGGCCAACTCGATGCGGCCTCCGCGCAAGCCGGTCCCGGCCTGCAACTTCAAGGGCAAGCTGCCGGGCCTGTTGAGGTACTCGATGCGGGAGCCGTTGGCCGTCAAGGCGTCGACCAAGGGCCCGATGGGGCGCTCCTGCATCCGCGCGTTGCCCGTCAAGACGGTGTGGTCTGCAGAGGCCTTGTTTACCACCACGAGAGACGCCACGGTGGTCAAGAAGCGCGAGGCCGTGCCGGCGTTGCCCAAGTAGAGCGGCTCGTCGCACGCGACCATGCGGCCGCCGTTGCCCGTGAGCACAACGGTGTCGCCGTTGTCCTCCATGGCGATCTGCGCGCCCCGCAACGCGGCCACGGCCGCAAGCATGTGCTTGGTGTCGTCGGAGTGGAGCAAGTTCTTGATGCGCACGGTGCCCTCGCCAAGCGCGGCCAAGACCAAGGCCCGGTTGGAGATGGACTTCGAGCCGGGCGGCGTCACGGTGGTGTGCGCCGGGAGGACGGCCGCGTCGAAGGGGTGCACCAAGGTCTCGTCGGTCAACACCACGCGCAAGTCGGGCTTGGACACCTCGTGCGCGCGGAGCTGGTGGCACTTGCCGATGGCCTCGAGGATCACGGTGCGGATGCGCGCGCCGTCGTTCTTCTTGTCGATGGCCATCTTCTCCAAGAGCGTGTCGATCTTGAGAAAGTGGCGCTTGTGGCCGATGGCCAGGCGGAAGACGGCGTCGTCCACGGACACCGGCAAGCCGTACGCGGCGATGCACTTGACCAAGCGGGCCACGGCCGTGGGGCTCAACACGCCCCAGTAGCGCGCCAACTCGGCCTCCTTGACCATGCCCACGGCCACACACTCGCCATGGAGCGCCTGCGGCGTGACCACGGCCTCGATGGCGTGGCCGATGGTGTGGCCGAAGTTGAGCAAGTTGCGCAAGCTGGCCTCCTTCTCGTCCGCAGACACCACGGCTGCCTTGACGCGGATGGACTCCAACACGGTCTGGACCAAGGGCTCCTTGATGGTGGCGATGTCGATGGCGTCGGACGACACGGCCGCGAGGAACGGCTTGGCAAACAGCTCGAGCCGCGTGAACTCGGCCTCGTTCCAGATGGCCGCGGTCTTGAGCACCTCGGCCATGCCGTTGATGAACTGGCGCGTGGGCAAGGTCAGCAAGAACGACACGTCCACAAACACGTAGCGCGGCTGGTGGAACGCGCCGATGAAGTTCTTGCCCAACGGCGTGTCCACGGCGGTCTTGCCGCCAATGGCCGAGTCCACCATGGAGAGCAAGGTCGTGGGCACCTGGATGACGCGCACGCCGCGCATGAACGTGGCGGCCACAAAGCCGATCATGTCGCCCACCACGCCGCCGCCCACGGCAATCACCACCGTGTCCCGCGTGCAGCCTTGCTGCAAGAGAAAGTCCTCGACCTGCGCCTTGGTCTCACGTGACTTGTTGTTTTCGCCCGGCGACACCGTGTACGCCAAGAGCCGGGACCCGGCGGCCATCTGGCGCATCTGCGCGGCAAAGCTGGCCTTGAGTTTCTGGAACGGCGCGGCCTGCTCCATGTGGCTGTCGGTGATGATGACATACGACGACAGCTTTTCGTGGCGGAGAATCTCGTCCACGATATGGTCTTGGATCCCGTATCCGACGTGGATGGACTCGCGGCCTAAAATCGGCACCTTCTCGACTCCGGACATCGTGCGCTGGGAGGTCTGGAGAATTGGGAGGAAAAAGGGTGCGTCGAGGTGAGGTTCCAAAAGAATATTAGTGTGGAGCAGGCGAGGTTTTTCGCGCCTGTTGCGTGCTCGCTTTTCGCCGGGCAGAACAGACGTGGAGTATGACTCAGGCAGCGGCCTGTGTGCAGGCCGCTCTTTTGCCCGCTGCTGTTCGGCAGAGCAGCGGGCGGGCAGGCAGCGGGAGGCGGGCGGTGGGCCGGGCCGGCGCCTGTGGTCACGTGCCTATTTTCATTCCGTTTTTTATGGCCTGGGTCTGCGTGGGGCCCAGGTCTGAGTGGTGGCTAGAACCATGATGCGATATGGATGCGATATGGATGCGACTTCTGGATGCGACTTATTAGAGGTAATAACTGTGAGAACTAGACGCTTAGCCCTAATTAATCATGTGACAAATGAGACATTAAAGTTCGCACCACTTACCCGGAACCAAATAGCACGACGAGTATATGAAGGGAAGAGAATTCCCTCTAGAGATCTTTTTAGAAGGTCAGTTGACACAAAAGTGGTTTTAGTTTTTCCTAAATAAAGGTTTATTTCCACACGCTAGTACATCATGTCGAATCCGATATCTCAACTGTACCAGTTGGGAACCACTTGTGGACAGGACATTGAGTTGGAATATCCTGTACTCAAGCAGAAATACAAACAATAACTGGTGCGCCTGTTGCGGCAGAAGCCCGCACGACCACCCAGAGTTGAAAAAGAGAGTCTTGTATGACTGACTGATTTTGGACGGCCTGTTTTCGGGCGGCCTGGTTTTTATTGACTGGTTCGCTGGGGGTTCAAGTAAAAGATTGATTGACATACAGATCAGTGGCCGAGATCGGGGATGGGAGTCGCCGGCGTGTTTTGCTCAGTGGTGCGCTGTGACAGTACATGTGAGGTCTGTAAGACGTAGTTGATCTGAAAGGGCAATTCGAGCACCTGTCAAGCACAACTCTAGAAAAGCAAACAGAAAGAAGTGCAGAAAGGCAGACTTACAAGATACCAAGTTTGCCGAAGCCAGCACCCACGAATAGACTTGTTACACCGAAGGGGAAAAGCTAGACAGTAATTAGGCCACGTTCTGAGTAATCTCACCAGGGTATATTGGAGCCACCCTATTCCATTCCTTCTTCATTCAATTTCACTTCATTCCATATGCTCTTCAATTTCACTCCAATTTCATTCTATTCCAACCCAGCTCAGTCTAACTCAAATCCAATTACACCAATTCCCATTTCCCTTCTAATTCCAACCGGAATTAATCAATCTTGAAACCATTTCAAACTGTCTACGGTTCAAAGTCATTCTTACTCCATCTGCCTCATTCCAATCACTGTACAAGTTCATCCTGAACTCGCTGCGCCTGCTCCCATTCTTCTGGGTCTATTCCAAATCGCATATTAATAATCAAATGCTTGTAAATGAATGAGTTTGAGCATTATAAATAATCTATAAGTTATATGATAATCCCCTAGATATTAATAATTCTTGCAGCATTATTTCTAAGTCTGTACCTTTTGTATAACATGTGATCATGTTAGTAACATTATCAAGTTACAACGATAAATGAAACATTGCAAATGTGATGATATATCTATTGAAAGTAATTGCCCACGTCGGAAGGGTGCCGCTATAACCCGGGGAATATTCTTGTGCTTGTGTTTTTCAATAAACCTTGTTAGGTAAAAGGAAATGGAAAGTTCATCCAAAACCTTGCCCAAGTCCGAAGCCCGTTGAGCACACGTATGTCGACACTCAACTCTGTCTCGTGCCCTTCTCGAGTGGGCGCTTTGCCTTACAAGAAAGCAGGTGTTTATATTCTAAGAATCATGCCTTCCAGTGATCAAAGTGGATGACAGAGTCAAGATAACGACGTATCCACCAACGGTCTTTCTCGCGTATCGCGGCCTATATTTGTCACACATGCCAATACGGGCAAGCATATAATATGGAAATTGTTTTTTACCTACGACACCTGAAAAGTTTAAAAGGCGCTTGTGTCTCTTCTCCCCATCCAAGAAGGGGTGGCGAATTTCACCACAGGGTCGATTCTTCGCGTGTTTTTCATTACTCCAAGATCGGCTGAGGCCATGTCACAGATCTAATGAACAATATCACACTACCGCCTTAATGAGGGACTTTGATCTGGGCTTCTAAAAGCAAACCTTTGGGCGTGCCACAAACTGAGTATGCTGGTATCTATATTCTTGGGGTGCCTGAGTTGCAGGACATCGAAGCTTCATTTCCTAATACTTCGTCTGTCTCGTGTCATTATTCTGAGATGATATTCTCCTTGTCGTATTCCTGGCGCTAATCAAGAAATACAAGGGACCATGCAGCCCATGCTTCAGACCATCCACTTCTGAGCCCAGCACTAATTCGCATCTTAAATACAAACATAGCCTCCCTCGCAAACAGACAGAACTCCCGTGTGTCTTCTACAGTCTTCCAGATTGATGTTTAATTATGATTCCATCAATACAGGTATCACTGAGCGAGCCAGGGGGGTATATACAATACAGTCACGTTGTGAATTTTGGAGCCTTGCGATGCTAATACAGCCAGGAACTGCAGACTTCCATCCAGGAAGCAGACTTCCAAGAATTACTGCGGATGTACTGTTCAAACCCATAGAGTTTCTTGTGTCAGTTCAATCACACGAGCACGCTCGAATTCCACCCAGTCAGCACCGACAGCTGTCTCAGCTCAGGCCACTGTACTGGTCACGAATGTACTCCAAGCACGCTTCCACAGAGCCAGATGGATTGTCCAACTGCCATTCCATGGCCTTCTGCGGAACGTCCCTCATCCACGGCCCTGGTTTCCGTTGGAGAGCATTCGAGATGATCTTGCCGTCGATGAGCGGCTTCATGTCCTTGACACCACTAAGCTCGAGCTCGTCCACATTTTGTAGGAGCAGCTCGTACTGGCTGAGCACGTGGTTTGCTTGGGAGAAGTCAAGCTTCTCTGTGGGGGCTTGCACGTCTGTGTTGAACGGACAAGGCTCGATGTTTCTGAGAAAGTCGTGGTAGGCATTTGCCACCATGCAGATGCTGAAGTGCTCGCCGAACCGGCGCATGTAGAGCCCGATTTCCGAGCGTCTGACGTCCTGCGGGCATGCAAAGTATGTGGACAAGAACAGGCCCTCCACGATGTCCGCGGCGATCCGCGTGCATGTTTCGTGCTCGGCCCTGCCGTAGCGGAGGCCCTCTTTCAAAATCACCTCGGTGTAGCTGGTGGACTGGAGCTTTTTGGCCTGCACCTTCACCCGGATGCCTCCGTATGGATGTAAGGTGACGCAGAGCCAGAACAACTTCTGCTTGAGCTTGGCCGCAAACACCTCCTGTGCCAACGCATGGAGTCTGGGCGTGGCCTTGAGCGCTTGCATGAACACGGCGTAGTGGCGCGTGGTATCGTCGACGGCCTTGGTCACATGATCCTTGGCTAGCTCGATCTCGTCGAGCACCGCCTTTTCGTTGGCCTGCTGGATGGATGGCGTGAGCGTGCCCGCGTCAAATAGGCAGTCGGTCAAGTTCACGTGGTTGATGAGCCGGAGCCCGTACGGCACGTTGCTGCTCTCTAGGATCTTGTGGAGCTCCACTCCCACGCGCTCCCTGCTGATTTTGTTGACGAGCGTCTCCTTCATGTGCCCGTCCTTCATGGCCTCCAAGGTGGAGGCCTCGATGGTGAAGTTGAAGCGGCACGCAAACCGCACCAAGCGCAATGCCCGGAGCGGGTCGTCCAAGAACGTCTGTAGTGGCTGCAAGGGCGTGCGCAAGATGCCGGCCTGGAGGTCCGCAAGCCCATGGCCGGTGAAGTCCTCGATGCGGTCCTCATTGATATTGTAAAACAACGCGTTGAGCGTGGCGTCGCGGCGCATGGCGTCCTGCTGCGCGGTGCCGTACTCGACCTGGGGCACGCGGCTGTCGGCGCTGTACAGCTCGTTGCGGAGATTGACGAAATCCACGTCGAGCCCGAAAAGCTTGGTCGTGCACGTCTCCAAATGCTTGGACTTTTCCGGGTTCTTCTTGATCGTGTGCAAGCTGGCGGCGTTGTCGCCTAGAGACGTGCTGGTGGAGTCTGCCCATTGCATCAACTGCACGGCAAAGTCCTCGCCGGAAAGCACGTTGATTGCAATGTCCAAGTCGTTGCTCTCGTCGCCTAGCAACTTGTCACGCACCCAGCCGCCGGTGATCCGGAGCTCCAACTGGCGCCCGCAATCCCCGCCTGTTTTCTGCTCGTTGTACTGCGTGCAGAAGTCCACGAGCACGTTTTTGATCTGCTGCTCCGTGGCATTCAACGTGATTTTGTCAAGCACTGTTCGACGCATACTTGGGCCAAGGTGAGGAAGCATGGAGGCACGCGAGCTGAGTCTTCGGGACGCGAGGGGTGTGGTTTGGCGTGCTATGAAGAATCGCCGCATGGCCTTTCAACCGATGCTTCTCGAAGTCCGCGACTCTACTGACAATAGCCCCACGGTGCGCATGGATGCAGTGCCATCTGGCGTTCGTATGTCTGGTTTTTGTTGTTTCGTTTTTTTTTTTTCGTTTTAGTTTTAGTTTTTTCTTTCTTTATTTTTTTGTGACCTCTTGAAATTGCTTCGCGACCGGGTGCTCTGAAGTCGTATGAATGACCTGAGCTTGCTGGACCTTGACGTTTGGATCAGGCCTTGTGTAAAAACGGCAACGTCCGCGGTGTCTGACTAGCACGTCAGTGAAGGCTGGCTGGAGGATATGTGCATTTTCAGGAGCCAATACGCTGCCTTGGCTCAATCTTTTTTTCATTCGACTCAAAACTTTATGAATATAGAAAGCTCGTGGTGCTCTTTTTCGCTGGGCTTGCCTACGGATACTGCACCAGTAATGTCATTGATGACTGCAAATTCCTGCACCGTGCTCGTCGGGCCTAATACTTGAAGCATCTCCCGGATATCCAAACTATGAGAATGTGACCGGAAACACGGATATAGACGTTTTCGCGAGTATCGTTGCTAATTTTAGAGGCAAAACATAGGGAAAGAAACCCCTTTTAAAGCCGATCTTAAATTTAATTCACTCAGGAGGAACCTGCTTTAGAGCCCGACACTGAAGATAAGTGTGGCTTTTACAATTCCACTGAACCAATGACATCTCCTGAACTGGCACGTGGGGACAGCTCACGGATTGAAAGTGGTCTGTTTTTTTCAGCCAACGCAACTGGCTGTGCACAGATCGTCTTCCAGTAATTTCAATGTCTCTGACGACTTCCGTGGCATGAAGACATTATATCTAAGTCTTCGTCTCCTTCCCCAACAAAGCAATACGCATGCTCAAGAACATGCACTGAATGTATGGAATAAAGCCGTTTGCCCTTCGCTCTCCGCATTGCCCACCAGTGTATGTACATTTTTTTTTTTTGGTTATTGCATCTGCTTGATGGTGACACACTCAAGATTCTAAAATCAACCAGTCGAAAGGGCCAGATTATTTTAAAAAAACACTACAATCGCAAAACCGAGATTTTTAAAAACATGGCAGCACCACAATTTAGCATATTGTCTCCCAATATACCCCTCAGTGTGGCCCTACGGAGCTTAAATAACGTTGGTCGGACGACAAGGAATGTGTTCACCGTGACATGGCCGCAACCGATGATTATTTATGATATTTTGGTCAGAAATCCGGAGATTTCTCTGATCTTGTAAACAGACATTTGACAAGGTGGCAAGACGTACAGTTGTGTTTGACTTCTGGTACCGAAGCAAAAGACCCTGCAAATGATTTTATCAAACCAATTGAGATTTGCATATCCCTCAAATGCATTGGATCTGGAAAGCCGATCTTTCTCCCCCAGAAGCGCACCCCGTACACACCCATCGTTTTTGCATGACCCGGAATCCGAATCCGAGTCTTATTTGAATATGAGTAGCACATGTTAATACACCTTGCTTTATATGCCAACCTCCTGGTATTCGTACCTAGTGTCGAAACTCTGCCCGCCCTCTTTCCGTTAGTCACGGCCTGGAAGGTCCTCATGGCCGGTGTCTGTTTACGTATTCGGTATTACGTCATCGACTTCTAGGATAGGTCTCCTGTAGTAGTCGTTTCAACTCAGATGGCTGTAGCGGCCTTAAGGAGCCAACTTCCTGCCACTCTCCACGCCTTCTGGTGTAAACCTTAAAAATCGTGGTGACGAACCAATTTAATCTTGTTAAGTTCTCCAATGAGTTGTCGGCTGGAATCGCCAAAGCCAAAATTCTTGAATAGAATAAGCACTGAAAAACATCTCCCTAATTTGTATGGCGATTCGAGGTTTTAATTTGATAGAATTATTCTCTTACAAAAAGTGAGCGCAAGTCTTACTTTTCTTCTTTTTTGACTTAGTGTTCCTTGACTTATTGTCTCTCGATCAGCCTGTGTGGCGTAATGGTTAGCGCATTTGACTTCTAATCAAAAGATTCCGGGTTCGAGTCCCGGCATGGGTTCGATAGCGGCTTTAGCTCAGTTGGGAGAGCGTCAGACTGAAGATCTGAAGGTCCTGTGTTCGATCCACAGAAATCGCATCTTTTTTGCAGTTCTCTTGTTTTAGACTGGGTTGATTTTTTGTTTTTCACTGGAGAATGAGTTTGTGTGTTGCCCTCCTTGGAGTTGGATAAAACAAGGACAAGAGATGTGGCGCTTCCGCGTTTCAAAAATTCATTAGTCTATATAGTTTTCATTCCTTCGTCGGTTTTTCAACAAAGCGTCCATGAAACATATCATTTTCATGTTTTCACGGCGCCAAAGATCTCGACCGTTTTTTCATCCAATAGGATTTTGCATCTTCTCTTCCCACAATTCGGGGGTGAAGATCACGTATATTTTCGAGCAGACATCCATGTAAAAGTAAAAGCTCGGAGATCACAAAATAACCACGTTGTTTACCCTCCTCCTCCACTTCTATTCTTTTGCGTAAAGAATACTCAAAAAGCGTCACAGTTAGTGGGTCAGACCACTGCAGGTTTGACATTTCTAGTGTGAGATTGGGATCGGCGCCACAATTAAGCCACTTAATGACCTCGTGGATGTCAATTTTGCGCGTAGCTTTGACAAGCAGCGCATTAATACCTCCAACAGGTGCCATGAAGGCCCTGTTCTCATACTTCTGTTTAATGTATTGTAGTCTTTGGGCATCAGAGGCATCGGGGTCAAGCTTCTGTGGGGCCATAGCTTCAAGATAGCTATTGACAAGAGCATTGTTCATGTATGTGAGCAAGATTCGGCTCTCATCAAAGAAGTTGTCTAATTTGAGCGACTTGACTTTCGAAATATGGGAGCCCATGTTTCGGTGACACGAGGAGCATTTCACGCAAATGACCACCGAAAATGTCATAGAGACCCATTCCGTAGTCTCTGTTGAATTGCAATCGGCACATCGCCCGTTCTCACTCCCAGCAATTGAGCGCACGTTTTGTAGTAAATTTTCATCTGTAAGATGGAACAGTTCAGAAAATACTGATACCGGCAGGCCGCGGCCATCATCAGCAGGGAGGACTTGGGCAGGGGGTTTGGGAAAATCGGTTATTATGCTTGGTTTGGGTGCCTTCCCGATTAGTCTGTCAGTCAACTGACCCGCATTGTAAAGAGCCTTTATCCACTGACTCCGCTCGTCCTCGTTGATTGCCTGGAACACGTGGCGCTGGCCCAAAGACGTCATGATTTCAAGACAAAACTGACGTTTTTCTTTCGTCACGGGTTTCACGCTGGCCAAAGCAATATCGATAGGTCTGTTTATTGGCTGTGTTCCATTTCTCCAGTCTGAGTATTCAATCAATTGGCCCTTTTTAAGCACGACCCACTCCTTGTGCCAGCCTGGCTTTCCTTGGCCTCCCAAAGCATATAGGATGCCGGCATAATTGGCGTTCTGGTCATCTTCGACATGGGCCCACGGACTCTTGGGGCTCGATTCTGATTTTGGAGAAGAAACCAGAGGCAAATTAGGAAAAATCATGTCCAAATTGACGCTCGAAGTGTCAATGGAGAGTTTTTCTGTTCTTTTGGTGTGGTCGCTTTGATGCGCTGAGGCCGAATTCAATGCGTTGGACTTGATCACGGTGGTTAGCTCCTCGTTGGTACGGCATGCCTCAATCATCTGGCGAAACTGCAATTTTTCACTGTTAAAGCGAGATAATCCGTTTAAGAATAGACTTGCCTTCTCCGGTAAAAGACAGGGGCTGTTTTTCTTGTCCTGAAATAGCCTAAAGTTTAGCAATCCGTCTATTTGGGGCAAGTTAGAAAATTTGAAAAGATTCTCTAGGAGCTGGTTAAAGTATTGGTTATTGGAAGATGCGTTCAATGCATTCAAGTAATCAAATTTCGAAAGCTCAAAAGCCTTGCGCTTGAGCAAGAGCTTCAGTTCGGGGCGGTCCTTTTCATTAGACAAGTACTTGTGTAGCCAGTCGTAGTATTCTTTGCTCTGTTTCTCAAAGCTTTTCCGGCTGGAAGCTGTCTCATAGCTGCCGTCAGCACTCGTGGAGGCCATGCAGTATGAGATCATTTTTGGAATGGACTGGGCAGCAAACACCTCTTTGATGATGAATGTGAGGTTCCGCACCAAGGGCTCAAACACGCTCTTCAATGCTGCCGAGAACTTCTTGTGTAAGTCGGATTTCTTCAACAACGGATTGAACTGATAATTAAGAACCGCTTCTAGCGTATCAAGCAAGCAATTGCGTGTCGTGACTAGCCGTTTTAAGGCCATCTCGAGTCCGCGGACTTCGTCCTGGAAATTTAGCATTGCTTTCTTCAATTTCGGAGTGTCTTGCTCATAGACAGCAAGCGTGGTGCGGAACTCGGGCCCGTCGTGGATGTTAAAATTGAAAGCCTTGCGTAGGTCTGTCAAATCAAACTCGAGAGACGTTGGTTGTCTTGGTGGTCGCTTGGGTAAATCGGGTGCCAGTTCAGCTACATGTATAGCTTTGGAAACATCTTCCTCGACCCAGATCTGAAACGAGAATATACGCCGGGACGCAGCCTCGCTATGGTGCCATGCTGAGATAGTAAGAACGGAGTTTTGCGCTTTTTTCTCACTGAAACAGTCGTTGACCACGACGGTCTGAGGCTGGTCATCCAGGGCAAGCTCCGAAAGCGGGATTTTAGACGCGTCGCCCAGCTTCAGCAGGAGGGATTCGAGCATCTGCTCCAGAAGCAGTTTCGGCGTAGAATCAGTGCCATACGATTTGTGAATTACCAAAAACGCCTGGCTTTCAGACTCACATTCCGCATGTAGAACGTCTACCTCGAATTTGAGCTTATTGTGAGAGGCAGACACGACAAGAAGGAGCGGCGACAGCCCAGCATTGTTGGAAATATACTTGATTTGCTTTTCTACATGCAGACAGGTGCTCGTATGGGTGATTTTCGAGCAGATATCGTTGTTTAGGCTGACTTGGATTCGTGACAGATTCGTCTCATCTGTCAAGGCCAACTTGACCAACCGCGCAATGTGGGATTCACCCGTCACGTAATTAAAGGCTAGTGGGAACACTTCAGATGCCATGGCTTTTTGAATTCAGAGGTACCTATCGCTTTTGATTTTCGCCCCAGTGGAATGTTGATTAGATTAATGTGCATTGTCGAGTAAATACTTAGTATGTGCAGGCTGGTCTGAACATCTGGACTAAGAGGCAGGTGACAGAACGAAATGTATATCAACAAACATGGAGTAAGCTGTCATTGTCTTCCTTGATATATACAACGGTCTCTGTTTCCGTAGGTAACTTTCCGATACGCTTTTGAGTGAAAATTTTTAGCTTCCGAAATACGATTTAGTTAAATGTATGTTGAACTTCATTAGTTTCGCAATCCTATAAAAGACTTATTGGGTTTTGCAATTCCCAGCTTATGGACCTCAACAACAGAAAATATAGTGCATTTTTGTATGCGATTGCTGTTCAGGCTTTCATGCATCCAGAACTGAAGTCAAAAAAACTTACGGCGATCTGCTGATGTAATCAATAATTTGTGAATTATTCACAGACTATTACACCAGAACACGCGGGCAGCACCAGATCACGTGACGCAATATACTGAGACTCGCTTGCTGCGGTCTCCGGCTTTGTCGCTAAAATTAGAACAGGCGGATTTTGCATGCAACACTTTCATTAATGTAGAGATGAGCATCAGTGTTCTTTGTTTCGCTAGCATCAAGAGGATTCAGAGGAAAAGACATGGCAAAATAGAAAAGAGGTAGATAGCTGGGGCTGAAGACGCAAAAAGTAATGCCCACTGTCGGAATCGAACCGACGATCGCCTCATTACGAGTGAGGCGCCTTACCACTTGGCCAAGCGGGCATCAACGGAATTGGGAAAATGTTGGACACTTAAAAAGGTGCGTTGCAAATACAAAAGAAAGGGGGGAAAGCGCAGTTTCAGCCAGATGAATCAACTACAAAGAAAGTTGCTAACTGGTTCTGGCACATGGGTGAAGATCACAAAAAGCCAACCGAGTGGAAGTGGAGCTGTCAAATACGTAAACAGATACGTGCCATGAGGACTGTCCAGGCCGTGACTAACGGAAGGGGACGGGCCGAGCTAAGACACTTGGTACGTAGCTGGGAGCTGTTTAAAGGTTTTTATATATATTAGTTACATAGTTTTGCCCCTTTGATCTGATGAATCTACCATAAAAAAAATTTCAAAGGTTTTCTATATATAATATGTACATAGTTTTGCCCCTTTAATTAGATGAATCTACCAAAAGAAAATACAGGAGACTTATACTAGGAATTGATGACGTGATATCCAATACGTTAATAGATACTCTATAATATGATGATTCTATAAGAGAAAATAGATATGGGCAAAGAGGACAGTTCAGGCCGTGACTAACAAAAGGGTCTGGCCGAGCTTCAACACTTGATACGTATCTGGGAGGTGTTTGAAAGTCTCTTATACATATTATTTGTATATGCTTGCTCCTTTCATCAAATGAATCTGCCAAAAAATAAAACCTTTAACATAAGAACAACGGCTGTAGAGCACAGTAGGCCTCGCTTCCACTAATTGCTACCATGATGACAAAAAACGGGGATTTTATTCACGAAAGAGGACTTCATATACATTACTAAATCTACGGCTCGTTTCTATGTGTTTCGTAAAACACTGTGAATGTCAATATTTCACCTCTCCGAATTTAACATCTTCATGGTTTTGTTTCGCATGCCTATCTAATCATCCATCTTAGAGCAGCGTTTGGAAGCGGAAGAGAGCGAGACAAGGATTAAAGCCACGTGATATTATTAGACCATGATATCTGTTTGAAGGCGAAATCTGTCTCTTGTGTGAAGGGCAAATGGATGTTATACAGAAGCGTCAGGAACAAACTCAGATGTGCCCCCAACATTCAAAGACTATTTAAACGGCATTTGATGACACGTCGCTTGCAACATGCGGACTGAATGCGAAGATCTTTCGATACTACAGTGTTCAAAAAGGTTGCCATAGATCAATCAATAAATAATGAACAATCAAATTGTTCTGTTTCCACCTTAACGTTGACAAATTATAAGTATTTCTGCTATGTCAAAACAAAGTGAGATGTCTGGCGCCACAGAGAGTCAGCATAAGAGCTTGCAAACATGATGGACAATCAAGCAGAGAATCTAGGCCCAAAAGCAGCTGCAAGGCCACAATCCAGCGTGCAGCCACATGTTTCGTCCTGGTCAATACTTAGACTGGCAAGGTTATTAGCGCGACTCCTTTCTGAAAAGCAAGAGCGATCATGACAGAACAAATAAACAGTGCAAAAAATCAAATGACATCATTCAGCAAAATGTCCCTGCCCAAACTGACAGAGGAAGTACGCTGATTAGGCTCAGCGGCCAGGCATCAACCGGACCACCGCGTCACGTGACTGCACTTCAGCTGACCCGGAGGCCTAGAGGCCAGATCCATACGCTTTGATAGTTCGATAAGTTATAATCGAGGGCCACCATCGACGATGGCAAGACGTGAAGTCCGGTTTATTTTTGTGCCCCAATGATTATCCCGTCTCTGCTGACTTTGATTGAAAAGAGCGACGTTCATGCACCGTGAACCGGCATGGCCATCACATACATCTTCCACACCATCAGAATCATGCAAAAAAACACGCAAGTTGCTTTCAAGTATCAATGGTAAATTCTGCCTGTTTTGAAATTGTCTTTCTAAAAAGAAGTCATATGTCATGTGCCCGTTAGAAGTAATGGTCCCGACAGACTGCGAACGTCTTCACATCAGTGCCACTGCGTCTATGCATCACCGGTCCTCCACGAACAGAAAACAGACCGAGATACAAGCACATACAAACTCAAAGCAGAACCCATATAACCAGGCGGTCTCTTTCTACCTCCACACAACCTCCAAACAAGACAAAAAAAAACAAAACGCAGCAATCATGGACGATGACATGACCCGGGACATGTGCCCGATCTGTAAGACGGACCGGTACTTGTCACCCAACATGGTATTTCTAATCAACCCGGAGTGCTACCACAAGATCTGCGAGTCATGCGTCGACCGGATCTTCTCGCTTGGCCCCGCACAGTGTCCGTACCCGAAATGTAGCAAGATTTTGCGGAAGAACCGGTTCAAAAAACAGGTCTTTGACGATATTCTCATCGAGCGGGAGATCGACATCCGCAAGCGGATCCAGCGGATCTACAACAAGACCGAGGAGGACTTTGCGTCGCTCCCCGAGTACAATGCGTACTTGGAGGCCGTGGAGGAAATCACATTCAAGCTCTGCGAGGGCATAGATACGGACGAGACCGAGAAAGAGGTCAGCAAGTACGAGGCTGAGCACAAGATCGAGATCTTGGAGATCGCCATGCGCGAGTCGCAAAAGGACTCCGACGTCAGCAAGTTCCAAGAGGCCACGGAGCGGCTCAGGCAGGAGAAGTTGAACATCCAGAAGCAGATGGAGGCCGAGGACGCGGAGTTCCAGAAACAGCAGAAGGTGGAGTTGATGGAAAAGCTCCAGTCGTCCGCGGCCAACGCGGAGGAGATCATGAAGCAGCAGAAGAACGCGCAGCTCAAGCGGCTGCTGCTCCGCAAGCGGCAGCTCCAGCAGATCTCCAGCCAGTTGGACCAGAAATTCCTCTCCAACAAAGCGGGCTCACGGCACGGCGCGGGCCTGGACTCTGCGGATGCGCACACGCCGTTCACGCCCTTCTGCGGCGACCGGGACGTGGACAAAAAGTACACGCTTTTGGGCAAGCCGACGCGCGACGTGGTGGATATCACCGACACATACTACGATCCGTACGTCAACAAGATGGCGCAGAACCGCGAGTTTTTGGGCGGCGGCTGGCGGCTCAAGACCTTGTTCGAGCGTGCGTTGGACGAGGCGTTCATGGGGCTCAGCTGCTTCATCGAGACGGAAAGAGCACCGCACCTGCGCCGCGGCCCAAGCGACACCGCCGTCT